GTATACAGCACGCAGCTCCACATATCCAAGCAGCTATATCAAAAGAGATGCTCTCAGTTTTCAACTATCACTACGAGAATTCATATGACAAACTATTAATTTACAACTCAGTTCAAGATTTGAAGTCTTTATTCTAGTTCACTATCATTCTTATGCATATGACATTTACTTAATAACAGAAACCAGTTCTGGTGCAGAGTTTTAAAAATAGGCCATAAAGTCTAAGTTTAAAGTAGTTTTCCTAAGACAAGGAAGAAGTCTTCTAAAAAATATCAAGTCTTACAATTCTTAATATTATGGTATAGAGGAGAAAGTATCCAATGAATAGTTTTCTATGAATACTTTAGAAATGGCTTTTTAAAAATCCTAAACCTAAGAGGGCTTAAACAAAACTAAGTTTCTCTAACCAGAGAACAGAGGAATACAGCATGTGAGATTAAAAACCAGTAAATCACATAAGAACTTAGACATTAATGATCAGGGACCATTCATGAGATATTAGGTACAACCATAGCACTAATGCCTTAAGTGCTACATTACTCAGATCTAGCTGGTGGGCTTTTACTTTTCCTGGATGGATTTTAACTAAATAGACTTTAGACATTTGGATATAGATAAATGCCTAATTCAGTAATTAGTATTTTAAAACTGTGAAACCTTTTAAGTTAAGTGGTCTATTAATTAACTACCAATTATCTTGTCTGACTACCATATCAATAGAAGTAAATTACCAACTAGCTATCTGACAGATTTAGTCCTTTACCATGCAAAATTTCTTCAGAACATAAAAGGCCTAGAGTTAAATGCTTTTGCTTTCTTTTGGTTAATCAGGAATCAATTTGCTGCCCACTTATAAAGGCCAAATGTAGTAGCTCTTTGGTCAAAAAGATCTATACATAAACTTTGCCTTTAAGAAATAGCAGGCTAAAAACAAAATATGAAAAAGTAGAAATAGCAGGCTAAGATTCTACTCCCTCTTAAAAAAATAACAAGTGAGGCAATGTTAATATTTTGGGGGGAAATATGGGATTGCAGTTCTTGTATGGAGGACAACTTTCCATATTTCAAAATGGAAGACAGGTATTTCTAAGCTTTTATATCTCTGGGACATAGAGTGCCTACGTGAATCTATGCTAGCGTTAAAATGAGTGACATTGCTTTTGTTCTCTATAGCCCTGTCCTAACTGAGTATTTCATAGTAGATTATGCTGACAAAAACCTACCCTAGACCTACCACTTCCTGACTGGTGACCAAAAGAAGGTCCCTGGGGATGTGCTGGTGGTGGAACAACAGTGGAAGGTAAGTGTCACAGCAGACTGGAAGGCTGTCAAATAATGCCAGGTAATGTAAAAGCTTCCAAACTCTGCAGAAGTAGTATATGGCCAAGAAGTAAGGAAGGAATTACTGCAGAGGTGCTCTTCTTGGGGACTGGTCATTGGGAAAATGAACAGTTGCCATACAATCCATTTGAACTTAATTAAAATTAGCCTATTATTAGCATCTTTCTCAAAGAGTAGAGTACACTATGGTAAAAATGAGCATACAGGTGGGGCAGGAAGAATGCAAAAGTTGGGTAGGAAATAAAAGGAGATACAAACAATAACAAATGGGAACCAGTCCCATTTTGAAGTACCAATCTTACACAGCTTGAGTTATCCAACATGATGCTTACCTTTTGAAAGCTTGTAACACAGACTCACATTGAGTGTTCTCTGAATAGGTTATCTTCTAAATAGTTAAGTAGAAGTCTATTACATATAGTTAAATAAATATTTAGCATTTTGAGTGACTTAAGGATAGAGTTCTGGTCTAGGCAGCAGAAAACAAAAAGATGTGTGTAACAAACTGTCTTTAGACAACTTGCCATCTGCTTCAGAATTCAGAGCACATCTTTGACAAAGTTATGTGAAAAACTATGCACCAAATAGGAATAACAACAAATCGTGCAAGAAAATCATGGAAAGAAGAGCCTTCCTTACAAGCCATTTAACTGAAGCTTCATGGAAAATAAGGGGTTGGACTGGGAATGTAGCGCAATGGTAGCCTACTATGTGCAAGGCCCTGATTTTAAACCCCACAGCACTAAAAAAAGAAGGAAAGAAAAAGAAACAGAAAAAGAAAAGAAAAAAAGAAAGGGAAAGGAAGGGGGTTGAAAGAGATAGTCTCTAAGGATCCTTGTAGCTCTAATGTCCAAGAATGGTAGCAAGGGCTAGAGTGGGGAGAGGTTACATCAAAAACTTGAACAAGGCCTTAAAAGGCATGAGGAGTGGGGGTAGAGGAAGTTCTAGGCAGGGGAACTAGTATGAGAAATGGTTTGGAAGTGGGGCACCCATGGCTTTTCAGTGGAAGTCACATGGTTTTCTATTTCAACTACATGAACATGACTTTAGCTCTGAGTCAGGATCAACATACTATTTATTATTCTATGAAAACAGACATCAACTGCTACTTAAAAGTCTGGCTCAAGATGATCTGTTCAAATAATTGAATGAGCTCTTTGCTCTGATGATCTACTTTTAAAATCTATGGGCCAACTTCTTTTCCCCACCCAGGCACTCATTTTTTCTGGAAGGAAAAAAACACAAGCCAAGGCTAACACATCTTTGAAAACTCACCACTAACGTTTCTACTTAAAAGGACTAGGGAAGGCAAGCTGAATTCAAGTGGCTCTCAACATTAGTTCACCCTTCCCCTCCACCACTAAAAATTATAGTATACTTTTAAATTTTAGTTGCTAAATTTCAACTTCTCCAAAGGTTTGTAAGTCTCGGCAAGAAGTAAGAAATTCCAACATTAAAATGAATTTTCTGACTCAATATTGAAAATAAATTCTTAAGTTTAGATGCTTAGGGGAAAAACAGCTGGAGAATTCAGGAGCCTCCCATATTTTAATATGAAGTGACGTCATTACCATCAAGGCTTCCAAGAACTCCCTAAATTGTGTGGTTAAGCAACATCTTGAAGCACAGTGAGGACATGAGGAAGGTAATATGTTCCTCCTTGGTATATAGATTCAGTTCCAGAATAAGCTTTCTGTTAGAGATTTGATTCAATTTCTCCCATATGCTAGAAAGTGGTCTAACACTGGACGTATAGAACATCAACTGATGTGCATTTTCAAAGCTGAGGCTGTGGATTTTCTTCATTTAGCACAGTCTAAATTAGCACTTACAATATAGGATGTCTAGGGAAGGTAAGCTGCTCTCCTGTTATGAGTGACTATGAATTTCTTTAAAAATCTAGTTACATTTGAAATTTCACAGTTAGCAAAATAATTATGCAGACAGAATAGTCAAGATAGTGAAACTTCAGAGTAGTTGGCGAAGGAAAAAGTTTATGGTTAGGAAATCGTGCATAATATCAGTCAGAGGTTATTGGGGGAAAAAAACAATCCCAGTGTCTGTGGTTCACACTAACCTATCAATGGCTGTGTACCTTTCTAAGGCTGACAAGTCAAATGAAATCCACTGGAGTTTCTGTGGTGGCTTCATCCTTACTTACCATTCTTCAAATATGGAAACTACACTCCACCTGCAATTTATGCTTGTCTTTTGTTTCAAATAGAGGCTGTTTTACTCAGAATTATAAACACAGGAGATTCTTGAGAAATTGTACTGCCAAGTTTATTTAGTTCGCTTTTACTCACCTAAAGCACACCTTTGACACTGGCTGCCTGTACCTATAGACCCGGTGGCAGCAAAAACCAACTCAATTCTCCACACCCACTGCATGCAATGACTGTGCATGCACATCTACACGCATGTCCTCATACAGGCACATTTACGTCTGCCTGAACTGTACATGGTGATCTCCTTACTCACTTAAAACATAGGTATGAGTTAGCTCAAGTTACTTAGATTTTCATTTCTGGATGTTGGAAACAAAGCTCAGGTTTAGAAATAAAACATTAAAATAACCATCTTTCAGAAAAGGCTTGATTGGATAAGCAACATCTGAATAAGTGCTTCTAAAGCCAGATTAAGTTAAGCAGTTGCTGAAACATTAATGAGGTTTGATATGGCCTATTTAGGAGAAACAGTTCTTTGTTGTGTTCTATTAGAAGACTAATCTGCCTATGAAAAAATAAAATCAAATCATTCCTCCTCAACTCTCTCTTTTTTTCCTACTGCTGGGAATTGAACCAGGACCTTGCACATACTAGGCAAGAGGTCTACTGAGCTATATCACCCAGTCCCCTTACCCTTTATTGGATCCTACCTATCAATAGAAGTAAAAGGAAAATATTGGGGGAGGGAGGGAAGCATGAAGTGGATGAATAGTGGAGAGACCTTCACATCTACCTTTATTAGAGATAATTCAGCGGGAAAGTTGTAGTTACTTTGGCCTTCCAAACAGCAGAAGCCCCTTGCCCCCATTCATAGAAGCTGACATTGTTGAAGTCCCTGGCACACCAGGTCTCACAACACTGTTCTCCTCTCTATGGTCCTACCAAGGTGTTTTTGGTTCTCATTGAGAAGGTCCTGAGATGTTCTCCTTTAGGAAAATGCTGTGGACACTGTGGATGGTCAGTGTGTGTTAAGTGACTGCTAGGGTGGTCTGACCACTCCCAGTGGACCACAAACGCTGATCTCAGAATCTCTGGCGCTTTCTAAAATGTGGCTGAGCAGTAATTTGGAAGCCTAAACTCTGACTTTAGGAATTCATAAGAACAACCAATGTTTTATACACTCAACAGAAAGTAAAATAAACAAATCCAGGGGTTTATATTTCCTCTTGTTATTTTTATGGCAATCTTTCAAACTACTTCACAATGTTCAGTATTCTACACTCTCAAGAAATACTGAATGGGGGGAGGGGTCGAAGGCAACAATTTAAGAGTAACCAACATACAGTGTAATTTACCAGGGGAGAATAGCTCTTAAGGAGGCTTTGTGGTGAAAGTGTGCAGGTGGCTTTCAGGCTGGCACCAAAGTCTCTGCTTTTCAACCTTCTCGTTGAGGAGGGCCCAGGAATTAAAAACAAGGATGTTTATATTTACCCAGAAGTGTGCGTGGCAATTGACCATCATGGTTCTCTCAATGAGCTCATCGGGACATTCCAGAAGGTGATGTCCAGAGACCACACCAGCATTATTGACCAGGACTGAGACCTCGCCAACCTCCTTGCGCACCCTTTCAGCCGTCAGGTAGACATTCTCCCTCTTCCCCACATCACAAGTGTAGGTAAAAACCTGCAAGTTACAGTGGGGCAGAATTTCTTCCTCACCATTCCCAGCTGTCCTCAGAATTCCAGATGAGAAGGAAAATGGAACAGAGAAGGGGGTGCAGAAAGTGAGTCACATGGCAATCAGTAGGACAAAGATCACGCAAAGCAAAAATACTACAGTGAGCTTCAAATTTCTAACACCACAATGCTTGCCAATAACTGAACTTACAGCTGCCTCCCTCCCCCCAAAGTCTTTGGGAATTACAGCAATTTACTGGATAACTGTGCTTAGGGGAAAGTCATGTGACTGTGACAAAGCCCAATACAAGTAGACCACATGGGATCAGCTTGCTGGAGCTAAGGACACCTGCGAAGTACCGGCTCAGCCTAGAGAATAACACATTACCCATTCCTTTTTAGGAGAGAAGGGGAGGAAACAGTGGTCAGAAATGGCTCTTACTATCTGGTACAAGCCCCCTCAACACAGAAATTCACTTCCAGGCTCACGAATCAAACCTGTAAATAATAATCTCAATTCATCCAAGCCGAAAAATGGATCTAAAGTTTTTCATGAAAAAGTGGAGGCCATTGCTTTGTTCTTACTGGATAGTTGACACTCACAAATCAAGTTTACAGGTAAACGTGTACTTTTACCACATAAGAATTCAAACAGCTTAAACCTTAAATTCCCTTCCCTGGAACATGAATACTGTTATCTTTTAGGTTTGGGCAGGGGCATAAAAATCTCCATTTGCTACCTCTCCATAGTAGCATTGAAATTTAACATTTCAACCTTAGATCCAAAAGGCAGGTGCCAGTAAGCTTAGTAACAAATGATGGATATGGGGAAAAGTGATGCCCAAGTCAAGTCTTCATACAGTTTGATGTTTTCCCTGGAAATGAAAAATGTCCCAAAGCAAGAGCCATCAACAAATTTCCTGGACCAATAGTTAAGATTAATTATAGAGTCTCCACTTAGGAGACTCTAATTAGGCTTTTTAAAAAGTCTCAGATTCAGGCTAGTTAATAAGTACACAAAAATGTAAATGGGGGAGGGACCAAAACTATGGAAGAAGTTCACAGTGAAGCTGAAATCCTTCAAGCTCTTTCGCAAGAGGCAGGGCAGCTCTCAATCATACTTAGGGGCTGTAACTAAAACACTTACCACTGGCGAAACAATGTAATTATTTTCCCTTGGCTACAGTTACAGCTAAACCATCAATACTGCCTGAGTCTAAGAGTTTGGCCTGCAGAAACACAGATACATGCTTCGGTCCGTTCTGGAAACAACTTCCCAGAGACTCTTTAGTTTCTACATGCAAGTCAGAGTGGGACATTTCTTCAGAATCCAAACCTGTGGTCACAAGATCCCTCTGCCTTCTACTGCCCTCAGAGGATTTAGGAAACCTGAGAGTTGTCACCAGAGAGACAGGACCTTCGTTAGGGCTGGGTTTGGCACACTTTCTCCCTTCTAATACAGAGGAGATCATGCTCTTTTATCAGGGGGCAAATTCCACTCGCTGTCCAGACCGGTGTGTGGGGGGATGTTCTTTTCCTTGAGAGCAGGGCTGAACATGACAGTGGGCTTTGGGGACGGACGCGGGGTGGGGGGAGGTTTGATCCAACAATGCTCGGGCGCGGGTGCGAGTTACCTTGCAGCGCAGCGGCGTCGGCCGCCTCCAGGTCGCGGTAGATGTGGCGCACCATGCCCGCCGTCTCCTCGTTGCTCTGCGTGTTGATGTCCCAGAGCACCAGCAGCGCCCGGCGCCGGGCAAACTCCAGAGCAAAGAGGCGGCCCAGGCCGCTGCCGGCGCCGGTGATGAGGCACACCTGGCCGGCCACGCTCTTCTCCTTGGGCCGCACCAACCAGCGCGCGGCGGCCAGCACGAACGCCCAGAGCACTTTGAAAGTGACCACGAAGAACTCCACCACGATGTTCATCGCGACGCCCGGGGCCCCGCACGAGCCCAGCGCCCGTGTCCGCGCCCACCCCGCGCCAGGCAGCCCAGCTCCGGGTCCCGAGGCGCTTGTCAGAAGGCTGCGCCCCACGCCCGGCCCCGAGGTGCCCGCCGGGCTGGAGTGCGCGGTGCCGCTCCCTGCTAGCGCGGGGCCACTCCCGCCCGAGTCGGTGCGGTGGCCCTGTGCAATGCCAGCCGCGGCTGTCGCCCGGCTCGGCGCCTCCTGCCGGCGGCAGCCCGCCTGTCCCGGAGCGCAGGGTTGGCCGGTCCCGCTGCAGCGGCGGTGACAGCCGTGAGTTAAGCGACGCGCGCTGCGCTCATGGCCAAGCCGCCGCCTCCCGAGTGTCCCCGAAGCCGTGCAGCGGCTCTCTCTCACCCCGGGGGCTGGGCGCGCGGAGGAGACGGCACCCGGCGGCCGGCCGCCGCTGGAGTTGTCAACTTGACCCAAGTTGAGAGGGGGTGGGAGAGTGGGGTGCGGGGCAGCGGAGCGCCGGGAAGGGGCGACTCGCTCGGCGCAGGCAAGCGCTGCCCAACGGCTTGCAGCTGCCCCTGCGATCTCGTGTCCCCCTGCCCTGCACTCCCCGCGGCTGTCACTCGGGCACCGGGCTCCGGAGAGCAGCGCCGCTTGCAAGTCGGAGCGCTCCCGGCCGGCTCTGAGCGGGCTCCACGCTCCGCGCTATATAAACCGCGACCGGGAAGAGCCGGCGGCGGCATCGGCCCTCCCTCCGCTCGGCCCTCCCCGCCCCCGGGCGCACCCCGCCCCCGGCCCAGCCTCCAGCCCCCCGCCCGCCCGCCTGCTGTCCGCCGAGCCGCGCGGGGCAGCCCCTCTCACATGGCGGTGGCCGCTGCCTCCAACCCTCTTCGCACCTCCCTTCGCGGCACACGCCCCCTGCCGTGGGTTGTCCCGCCTGCGCCTGCCGGGTCCCGTGCTTTGGGGAGCCGCAGCCATACTCCTTTGGCCGTCCGATCCCCGCTCTTCCCAGTTTCGCCACTTTCGTTAGCCAGGGAACTCCGGATGGCCCCGCCTGCAATCAGGCGCTGCGGAAGACAGCCCTGCAGGCTGACGGGGTGACAAGGACCTCGGTAGCGCGGCAAAGGGAGTGTCAGGGTCTGTGACAACGGGTGGCAGAGAGCAGGGAAGACTTCGAGTCGCAGCTAGCCGCCTGTGGAATGTGGCCCCAAAGGGTCTCGTTTTCCTGGCCGGGATCTCTACCGCGGTGGCTGCCCAGAGTCCGAGTCGGGCATCGCCCTCTCGCTGTGCGGGCCGTGGAGTGGTGCATGCTGGGACTTGTAGTTAGCACTGAAGAGGCGAATTTTGGGTTAAATTAGAGCGTGGATCTTGAACCTAATCCTGTCAACGCAATCTAGGGATTAGGACCCTGAGCATGTCAAGATGTCAGCACTCTTTGCTCGTGAATTGATTAAAAAGTGTAATCGATGCGTTTATTTTTGTCATCAAAATTTACCCGAAAGTTGATTGGAAGAGACTAAATTATGAAGTACTTAATTTTACGTCTGCAAGGTGGGCTCTCAGTCTGGGCTCTTTTCCGGCTTATCCTAGGACACCTACAAATCGTGGGACTTCGCTCACAGTCTTTAAGTGGTCAGTGCGCATGCGCTGACTTCCTCTTTTCCGGCTGGAACCATGGAGGGTGCCGAGTAAGTTGGTTCTCATTTTCTGCAGAATCCTCCTCCATCCCCGAAACTAGACGCTTTTCGCCTCACTTTTTTCCTATATGATTATAGTTTGTGCCTTTGCCCACTTACCTGTGTGTTTGTGACGCTCCGTGACATCAGTGGAGACCCCAGGCTAGGATGGGATGCGGGCGGCCTGGGGGCCGAGGCTTAGGAAATACAAGGAAGGAGGTGTGAGAGCAGAAAAATGTGCAGAACTCACCACTGGGGAGAAGGTCCAGTCCTTGGTGGAAGGTCTTTAGAGCGAGGTGCGGAACCCCCGAATTGGGCTCGTCCTTGGCAGGCAGTCGGCCTAGGCTTCTTAAACGGCATGCCGTCGTTTTGCACATGTGGAACTTGAGAGTTAAGCCAGACTGGTGCTTTTTTTTTTTTTTCTTACAAACCCTAGGACTTTTCGCTAGAAGTAAGTGTTTAGTACCAATTTTTAGTTCAGTACGATTTGTTAAGTTTTATTAGTCGGGGACTGGGATTGGTGCTAGGGTAGGTGTATTTAAGATTACCATTTTAGTAAAGCATGTTAAAGGTGAAGGTGACTGGCTTGAAGAGCACGCTAGCTAGATCAATTTAAGATACCCGTAGCTGTGGCCAGTGACATTAGGTACAGCACAGTGCTGGGAGGTTCCTGGGCTGTGGATAGCAACAGCTTTCGTTGTTTGCTAATGACAGAGAGAAGAAAAAGAAGGTACCTGCTGCGCCCAAAACCCTTAAGAAAAAGGTTCCTGCTGTGCCAGAAACCCTTAAGAAAAAGCGAAGGAACTTCGCAGAGCTGAAGGTAAAGCGCCTGAGAAAGAGGTTTGCTCAGAAAATGGTAAGTAGACTTTTAGAGGCTCTTGGGTGGAAGAAGCCTTGTGGTTGGGATTGAGAATGAAGAGAATGTTTTTAATGAGATTTAATTACTGCAGTACTGTACTGAGCATGTGTTTAGTGCTTCCTAATGTGGCATACTCAAATGAACATCTGAGTATGTTCATCATCTGTGTTTTGGAATGTTGCTGCATACTGTGGCCAGAAAAAAGTTTCAAGAGAATGGTATTTTAATATGATTGGTATGGCTAATTGTGTTTGGGAGTTAAAAAGTCATGAATAACTGGTGATTTGTTTTCAGCTTCGAAAGGCAAGGAGGAAGCTCATCTATGAAAAAGCCAAGCACTACCACAAGGAATATAAGCAGATGTACAGAACTGAGATTCGCATGGCTCGGATGGCAAGAAAAGCTGGCAACTTCTACGTACCTGCAGAACCCAAGTTGGCGTTTGTCATCAGAATCAGGGGGTAGGCTTACTTTAAACTATTCTCTGGTTATAAGAGGAAAAGTACAAAACCCCACTAAAGTTTACACTGATTCTCCATCAGTGGAGCAGTGTACCTAGAAATGGGTTTGGTTGCAAGTCCTGTGCTCAAAGCTCCTATCCATTCCTAACACAGGTGGAGTTGTGTCCTGGCAGTTGACAATTAAAATACACTGCCATGTAAAAGTGGGAATTAATTAAGAATAAAGACCTTTCACATATTAAGGTTATTTGGAAAAGAGGCAGGTTGGTAGAAGTGATGGAATAATTTTCGAACTGAAAGGAAATACCAGTGATCGGAGGTCTTTGTAACAAGAGCATATTCCCATTCATTTAGATTGAATTTGAGAGTGGCCTATTGTGGTTAATTTCCTGTCCATTACTGATATAAAAAAAATGGCTGAGAAAAACCAGATGACTATATTTGGTCCCTTTTCAATGCAGTATCAATGGTGTGAGCCCGAAGGTCCGCAAGGTGCTGCAGCTTCTTCGCCTTCGCCAAATCTTCAATGGCACCTTTGTTAAACTCAACAAGGCTTCAATTAACATGCTGAGGATCGTGGAACCATATATTGCATGGGGGTAAGTCTTACTTCCTTTGGTTTCCATTTATTAAATTGATTACATGGCAAGATGATTAACTGCTTTAACAGTGATCATTCTTACATGATCATTTATGCCTGTTTTTCAGGTACCCGAACCTGAAGTCAGTAAATGAACTAATTTATAAGCGTGGTTATGGCAAAATCAATAAGAAGCGAATTGCCTTGACAGATAACTCTTTGATTGCTCGCTCTCTTGGTAGGTTCTTTGGGGGGAATTTGATTAGACCAAGGTGGTATTTTCTGGCCTCTAGGGGACTTACATTTTTCACTATTAGGAACCTTCACCATGTATTTCTATAATGTTTGATTAGGGTTAAAGAAAATACAAGATTTTAGGCTTGAACAGTTCATAAATAAAACCATGTGTTAGAGTTTAATAATCATTAAGAAACCTTTTAAAATTTCAGGCAAATTTGGCATCATCTGCATGGAGGATTTGATTCATGAGATCTATACTGTTGGAAAACGCTTCAAGGAAGCAAATAACTTCCTCTGGCCCTTCAAATTGTCTTCTCCACGAGGTGGTATGAAGAAAAAGACAACTCATTTTGTAGAAGGTGGAGATGCTGGCAATAGAGAAGATCAGATCAACAGGCTTATTAGAAGGATGAACTAAGGTGAGAGACTGCAGCCTGGGAGAATTTTTTTTTTCCCCCCATTAAGTTTGGAAACTTAGTTGAATTATAATCGGAATTTTTCATTGAGAGAAGAATCTGTTTCACAGGATTGCTTGGTTTGTTACTTTTGAGGACCTTTTTAGAGGGAAAGAAACCCACCCTCCTTTATTTAAAAAATGGAAAATGGGTGTCCTTAAAGTGTAACAACTGATAACTGTTTTATGTAATTTTAATTGCTTGAGTTTTAATAGGTTTATGTTTTTTCCTTTCAGATGTCTACCGTGATATTTTTCTAATCTGGTCAGTTAATAAACAGTGACTGCTGGCAAATTGAAATGTGTTGGTGACTCTTTTGTTAGCCTGTCTCTTGTTTCTCTTAACTGTAGTAGTAAATCTTAATGTGTGATAAAATTCTGTCAAATCATCAACGGTCCATTCCATGCAAAACCAGGGTTTAATTTGTATTTGTAAAAAAATTTTGCAGTGCTTAGTTGTGCTAAGGAACTGATGCAGTGTGCAACATACCTTGCTAATTTTTTGGCACTTACCAGTTGGAAATTCCTATTCAAAATATAAATTTATTCCTGGTCCTGGAAGTTATTTCTTTGGATCAGTGAGTTTCTTTGGGCCAGTGAATTCTAGAGTATAACCAAGAAGATATTTTAGAAAATCATGCCATGTATGTTTATAAGCGTGCCTATATTTTGCCAGAAATTTACTATCTTGGTGAAGTGTTAGATGAAAGTTATATTAAAAAAATACATTAATCTCTAGGTGGAGCCAAAGAGTTTAAATTGTGAACCTTTCATTTTTACTTTTGATCTACAGTCCCAGTCTGCATACTGAATGTGTGTGTCTTAGATGTTAGAGCCTGGTTGGTTTCCAGAACAGTGAAAGCCATCAGTGACCTTCACAGAATCAAAATCATAACTAGTTAGGGAATAAAATTTTATGAATGGCATACTGCTAACTATGTCGGTGTGGATGGGTAAATGAAGTGCCCATTAGGGCAGAAGTGGTACTCTGCAAGATACAGTGGTATTTACCAGGTTTTTTTTTTTTTTTTTTGCTGGTACTGGGAATTGAACTTAAGGCCTAGCACTTGAGTTGTGTCCCCTCCTTTAGGTCAGTGAATTTAAATTGACACATCATTACCAAGAGTGGCAAAGCTTTTGGAGCTGGCTGAGTGGCTCAAGTGGTAAGAGTGCCTAACAAGCATGAGGCTCTGAATAAATACATTCTCCTTGCTTATCTCATTTTATTTATTTATTTTACTAGGATACTGTACTGGGGTTACATTGTGCTATTTACAAAAGTGCTTGAAATTTATCTTTAGATACACCTCACGTTTGTGCTTTTGGTTTGAGAAATTCTCTTTAATCACTTCACAAGTGGGACCAGAAGACCGGAGGGTGGGGAAATGGGAGTAATCATAGGTCCGGGATTGCCATGGAGTGCTCTGAAGCTCTTGTAGGGGAATTATGGAACATAGGCAGAGAGGAAAGTGAGATAAGCTTTCATAATGTGATTGTGAGGATAAAAGAAATGTGAAAATGTTTCTGAAGTTAACATCTTTTTACTCACAAAGCCAACCTGTTATTAGTTACAGTGGACCTAGTAGGTTCAGAAAATCACTTTTAGTCATACCCTTTCAAACTTACGAGATTTCCTCCCACTAGCTCAGTGTTAACCCAGTATTTTCTTTGAAGATTCATTTGTGATGAGACTGGTTTTAGAACCAGACTGCTTTGAGTTCTTACCCAGTTTCTACTCATGAAACTGGACTTCCATCTCAGTTTCCTTGCAAGGAAAATGGAGGAAATAGTTGCACCTAGTTTCATAGGAAAATCAGGGTTATCTAAAAAGCGACTTGGTGTTGGTAGTATAATTTGAGCACTGAATTTATACAATAGAAAAGGAAACAGCATCTACTTTTGTATGTCTGATTGACAAGACAAACCACAAACATGTAGGTGAGTCTTGAGGGGCTTACTTTCACAGGAAAATTAGCAACTTTTTCTTCCCATGGTTTCCCTTGATTTGATGTTAAGCAACCAAAACGTTACTTGTATGTGTTCTTCCTATCTCAGGTAGTACACTTAAATCTAGGCCTTTTAAAATCCTTTCCAGAACCTTATGTATAGTAGGCATTTGCTGTTTGTTAAATGAATGTTTTGCTGTTGTAGCACATTACCACAACTACATTTACTGTCCTAACAGTTCTGGAGGTCAGAAGTCCAGAATCTGTTTGGGCCAAATCAAGGTGTTGGTAGACCTGTGTTCTTTCTGAGGGCTCTAGAGAATACATTTCCTTCAGTTTCTTGACTCAGAACCTTCATCTTCAAAATGCAATCTGCTTTCATCCTTAGATCTTTCTCTGATTTTACTGCCTACCCCTTACAAGAGCTTTTGGGGTAACTTTGGGCCACCAGGACAATCTTCATCTCCTATCCTTAACTTAAGCACATATACAAAGTCTCTTGTTGCCCCATAAGAGGATATGTTCACAGGTTCCAGGGTTTAGGGCATGGAAATCTCAAGGGTCATTGACATTCATTTGTCTCCCACTGTGTTAATTCCTCAAAAGTAACAAGTTTCCAATCTAAGGCTTTGTCACTTGTAATCTGAATCTGAAATGCTAGACCCTCAATCTGCTTACTTGCCTTTTCATTCTGGAAAAAGGTCTTCCCTGGTATTTGTTAAGTTTTTTTCATGTGTTTCTGCCTATCTGAATTTTTTTCTTGCTGCCTTTACCAGCCATTTCCCAATGCAAAGGCCTGATTTTTTTTTTTTTTTGTATTAGGCCTTGAACTCAGGATCTACCTTTGAGCCACTTGAGCCACTCCACCTGCCCTTTTTTGTGATGGGTTTTTTTTGAGATAGGGTCTCACGGACTGTTTGCTGTAGCTGGATTTGAACCACAATCCTGATCTCTGCCTCCTGAGTAGGATTACAGGTGTGAGTCACTGGGGCCTGGCCCAAAGGCCTGATTCTTAACCTCCGAACTGGCACTTAGAACAGTGCCTGAGTTTGCTGGCACATTGTAGTTGGGTTTTGGTGTTGGGGAATGTTGGAGGACTGAGAACTTTGAGAGGTTTTTGGTTTTGGTGGAACTGAGGGTTGCTAAGCAGATGCACTAACACTTCAGCCATTTCACCAGCCCTAACAATGAGTTTTACTGTGTAGGAATAACGTGTTAGGAGAATATAGTTCATGTTACGTAGATTAGAAAACTACTGAGTAAATGCCCATTGAAAATGACATTTGGTAGGCTCACACCCATAATTCTATCTATATGGGAGGCTGAGAACCGGAGAAACAAGGTTCCAGGCAAACTCAGGCAGATAGTTCACAAGATCCCAGCTCCATAAATAACCAGAGCAAATATGGTAGAGTGGCTGCTTTGCAAGCAAGAAGCCCTAAATTCAAATCCCAGTCCCACCAAAAAGATACACGACATGTTAATAATTGGATATTCCTACCAGCCTCATTTGGAAGATACTGGGTATGCTTTACCTTTTATGTATAGTCCACCTTTTCTATGACAATATTTTTTTTTGACCAGAAGAACCTAGTTTTACTTAACATTCTTTAAAGTTGAGATAAATTTGTAGGTATTCAAAGTTTCATGTGAATTATTTTTGCGTTTACTCTTTGTCATTTCTTCTGCCTGGGATTTGGACTGATTAAGGGACCGATGATAAGACAGTAAAATAAAATAGCCTACTGAATTTCACTGTCAGTGGCAGGTAGCGTTGTGTGACTTCGATTTTATAGAATCTATTCCCTTTTATGTTTTTGCTGTGATTTGAAGATTCATGTTAATGTTAAAACTTAATTTCCAAAACACTATTAAGAGGCAGGGTTTTTAAGGATGATTAGGTTAAGAGGGCTTTGCCCTCATAGGTAGGCCCCTTTTGCCCTTCTGCCATGTGACAATACAAAGTTTGGCCCAAGGAGCTATCTTGAAAGCATAAACTTGGATCCTCACCAAACACAACTTGCCTTACCTTGATCTTGGACTTCCCAGCCAGTAGAAGTGTGAGAAGTAAATTTCTATTTGGAGGGGAGGAAGGAGTACAATTTGGACACCTGGTAATAGTTTGAGAAAAGGCAGCTTGAAAAGTAGCAAGTAGGGGTGATAGCAAAGAATTTTGAAAGACCATTTAAACGTTTGATCGACTAAGTGTCAGTGTGGTGTTTGGGCCACATAATTCTGTGTGGGTGGTCCTCCACTTTGCAATCCCAGATCCAATTGGTTGGGAATGGGGCTCCAGACTACTTTTCCTCTTAAATTCTGGCTAATGTACAGCCTACTCCTTTTAGGAGTGTGCCACTGTCCCTATTTTGTTTCTTTTTTTTTAGGAGCGGGGGTAGGTACTGGGGTTGAAGTCAGGGCTTCATGCTTGCTAGGCAGGCTGCCTCTTGGAGCCACTTCACTATCGTTTTTTATGTGTTGGATTTTTTCGAGATAGGGGCTCATGAACTATTTCCCCCGGCGGATTCGAACCTAGATCCTTCGTATATCTATAAACGTGAAACTCCAGGTTACACCCCCCCCACCCCGTGTTTTCTTAACCAACAGGCTTGAACAAGGAAAAGTTGCTACCAAGTATGTTGAGCAGTTCCAGAAGTTCTGGGGGATCGGAAACCAAATCACTAGTGGTAAGCTTGCAACTCCACTGGGAACTCAAAATGAAAATGACGCCGAGGTCCTGCTGTATAAATCAGGGTGCTAGGCCTCCGTGGTAGGGAGGTAACACAGCTTTCACAAAGGGTCTGCGAACTTGCTACCTAGTTGAGATTGCCGGGGTAATACTCAAGGTTACTTTGAATATGAAAAATTGTGATACAAGCTGATTTGCGAACAACCCAGACAGCCAAACTACACCTTGGCTTGCCTTCTGCCTACCCACCCTGCTTCAGGGGTGCCGTTGTTCCCCCAGCCTTGTGTCTGCACGCCCCCGCCCTCCGCAGCTTGGGGTCCCTTCCCCTGCGGGACTGGACGACAACCCCGCGGAACCTCACTGTCCCAGCAGCTCCCGCCTCTCGGGCTCCGGGTGCCTAGCAACCGGCTGCGGCGGGGCGGCGGGGCGGCGGGGCCGCAGCTGCGGGCGGCTGGCCGGGCGGGGCAGGGCCGGACCGGGCCGAGCGGCGGACGTGCAGCGCTCCCGAGCGTCGCCGGGCTGCGGGCCGCCGAGCATGCTCGCCCGGAGAGCCGGGCCAGTGCGAGCACACTGCCGGCCTCCCAGCCCCGCCGCGGCGGACAGCCCCGCCGCTGCCTCCCGCGCTGCCCGCTGCCCCCACTGCCTTCGCAGCCGGAGCCACCGACCTCG